ACACTCAAGGTAAATTATTATTACACAAGTATTAAACAGTACCAATTGAAGTGAACTGATCATTAGTCTTGAATGGGAGCGCTCCAACTGTAAACAGAAACCACACGTAAGAAACCAAACATTTAGAAGTTATGTACGTACCTTTATCATCAGTTGTATAGAAATATTCTTCACAATGAATCTTGATAATCCCGTGATGGGAAAGTTGCTTCCATTCTTCATTGGTTAGTGGAAATACTGTCTTCGCAATGTGAATGGATACAGCATACCGTATCCTAAGGCAGTTAGGCTCAATTCTAAACATTTGGAGGTTGAAACGATCAATATTTAAACATTTCGCTACCAAAGCCTCCAGATCAAGCAAATCGACAAATCTGATGCTATAATCCCAATGCTTATCAGTGATAATAAGTAGTTCAACCTCTTCGTCTGACTGACTCCCAGTGAAGACCTCGAATCTTCCTTCATGATATATACTAGTCTCACAGACACGTCGTCTAATGTAGTCATTGAACTCCGATTCATATGCTTTTAGCTTCTCCTGCAGTTCTTGTGAACCAGTACATAGCTCAGTAATTACTCGTTTCAGAATAGAAAACTGGAGAAATGATATAAGACTCTTCGTCACCAGTTCTAGAAAAACTCCACTAATGCTGGTTTCAGCTACAAGCTCAACCAGAGGAGATACCTTGGCAATGCGCCTCACGTGCTGAACATCCATGATACAGACCAACAGCTCTTTAACGTCACAGTTTATCTGATGTAGGTACCTCTCAGTTTGAGCCCTCAACAGCGCATATTGCTCTATCATATGGTTTGTATCACTGTTAACCTTACGTCGTAAAATTCTCTTCTCCATTTCAGGCATAGAACTCAATGCAATTGGTTTATCTGTTAGTAAGAAATTTGAATGGCACTCTGAAATACAGTAAATTTGCATTTGCTGCTACAAATTCAATATGTATATATTTATACATATGTATACATACTGTGTAGGACAACCAATCCCAAGTTCAGACACATTGAAGACAAGGCTTCCTCTACAATGAAAAACTTAGAAGGTTCGACATATTGCACAGTGGGTGCATTGCCCTACCATGCATTCATATAGTATATATGTATATACAAGTATATACATGTCCCTTCGTTCACTGTGATGCCAGCAGCAGGGCTTCAGCAAGTAACTTCTCTACAGTCTCTCATGCAGCAACAAATTCTGTCGCTATAATTATTCATAAAGAGATGTGTTTCTAAGAAGCGGGTGTTATTGGCTAGGTATTGTAAAATAATTACGGTAATTACTACTTTAGCACCAACTAACTCTAAGGCAAAATATTTAATTTAGTCAAAGTTGCCTGCATTAGCCACCTACAGGCAATGTATCGGGAAACATCATTTCCACTTACATGTACAGAAATTACCTGCTAGAGAGTGGGAGGTACTGGGTTTCGGAGTAGCTGCAGTAGCTCCAGATCCTGAGTCAGGGGAAGTGTGTGGAGGAGGAAGGGAGGGAGGAGGAACACTCCATGGCTGGGGATGCTGCTCTAACACCTCACGAGCAACATCTTCTCGAGCCACAGTTTTATTTCTCAGTGCCATGGCCACATGGGTCCAAGTGCAATCTCCTGTTCCTCCGTATCTATTGAGCCATTCAATGATGACATTGCGTAGCTTGTCGTCATTGTTTCTGTTCTCTGAATCAATATTATCCAGAGTTGACTCAGAAAGACGGAAGACTCCCCCAATGTTACGCCACTTCTCTCGTGCTTCATACATCATCTCAAAAACATCTTGAGTATTGTCAATTGTCAGTGCATAGGCTGTGTTAGGAGCTGGAGATTCGTCAGCAGGCTCGTTTGGTCTTGCAGTATTAGTAGCAGTTTCACATTCTTGAAGAACACTGGGAGGAGCCTGAGTGGATTCTAACTGACTTTGCTCAGTCTCTACTACTGCCTTGGAGATACTGACCCCTGTAGAATATCGCAGAGTTATTGTATGTGATGTAATCTGAGAAAAGCGACGCTAGTGTCACATCACTGTAACCACATGCATCAGGGACCCATTAAGTAACCATAGCTTTCCATACAAAGTTACACAGCTGTACAATAGGTTAAGATATAATTGTGCCACCCATCATACACATTGGTTTTTCTTATACTTTAGTGACATTTAATGCCAATTAGACAAAGTTAATTGGGTGGCACTGTAGCAATGAGGCAAGGTAGGCTGATGGCAACTATAAGGCAAGCTCCCTTTCCCTCATATTTAGAGGCATGCGCAATGTGCACACGGCACTGTGCAGTGCGCAGTATTCGTGGCAGTGCACATGACACGAGTGCACGCTCTTTTCAATGTAGCGTACAGGAGAAGGAGAAGGCCGAAAGACTGGTGGCTCGAGCGGCAGGAGACGGTTGCTATGCATGCCGCTTCTCTTAGAAACCAACAATGTCGAAAACGGATAAACACTCGCAGATGACCCCTCAAAACACCACGACAGAGCTACCAGCCAAACTCAACTCGAGCAAAAAAGCTTCGCAACTGCTCTTTAGCTGAGTCTGCAGGGCGTGGCTACCTACCTGCACTTGTGCGAAGAAGACGACCGAGCTAGGGACTAGCGAGGCACTGAGCTCCCCGGTGAGTGTTTGGCTTGTGTTTCATACTGGACAATGATTTAGACCGTAGTTCTTCCTTGTAGACGCTTATGGAGTGTGACAGTAGCACATACAAAGAAGCGATATTTATCCGCCGCCATGCCACTTTGTCGGGCAAACTCGAAAAACGTCAAGAATGAAAAGAACTAAAGTGCAACCGCTATATAATTGATGAGCTGGGCCTATTAGTATGCGTTTACTTGTGGTCTCCTGCCAGTAGCTCGCGGAGAGTCTGATACGGGCTAGCTACAGTAGTAGATAGCATGCAGGAGTCGATACACACCTTTTGTTGTGGCTTCTTTTGCCTCCGAGGTACACAGAGCAAGCGGATCAGGTCTAGTATATTGTATTGTCCACTTGGTCTTCACGCCATAACTTAAAATGCAGTACTTCTACGAAAATCACTATTTTAAAAATAGGGACCTGTTGGTATCGCTATTTTGTTGTCTCGTTGCGCGTGATGGCAGAAAACGGTGGTAACAGACAGACAGACGGAAGGACAGACGGACAAAATGACAAACAAAGTACTGTAACCCTCGCTGCGCATGCGCGCCGAGGGTTAATGAAAATGTCCCGTACTGGTGCGCCCTCTTTTACACACGGACTTCACGTTTAAGGGGGATATAGGGATGGCAAACAAACACGAGGTCATTGCACAAGTAATGCACGCAAAATACATCTCAGTAGAACAAAGATGTTTCTAGGCATCTCCATATCACTGATCAACAAGCGTAGTTCACAAACAAGAGTTTAATTGCTAGAAGGTCTAGCGAGCAATTCTACTGTGT